TAACAATGATGAGAAAAACTGTGTGTCTCCAGGAATACAAAGTAGTGCTCTACAATAAATGACTCACTGTGAATATAATAAAGTTCCCTGTATTTTGCTGCTACAGTTTTATTTGAATGTGGCAGGTGTTTTGTTGGGGGGTAAACATTCAAAATGCAACCTACGTGTGAATTACTGAGAAATTAGAGAGCATATCCTCAATTCTACAAAAGTAAACAACAAATTCAGAAACTCAGATGACAGTTTGTTCATTAGACTGTAATTTTTGTTCTAAATTTAAAGCAAAGTATATTTTATACTTGGTCATTATGATAAATAATCAAATTCTAGATTTAAATTTTACTTATGCCACAATAATTTGATAAATAAATGCTAAATTTGTGAAAGTCTACTTTAAACCTTAAATTTTTATTTTACTTGTCAAATACATGATAAAAAAAAACATACCAGTATCATCTTGGTAGATGTTCAGTTTGTAAGTAAAAATAATTTCTCTAGTTAGCAGAAAATACCAACCCATTTTGTTGTTGTTGTTGTTGTTTTACTTTTTGATTCACTTACTTATTTTACTTCCCAGGTGCAGCCTCCCCCTTACCCTCTTATCCCAGTCCTCTCCCCTACTTCACCTTCCACCTCCCAACCCTCTCTTCTTTAGTTTCCATCCAGAAAAAGAGAGCTCTCCTATGATTATCAATAAAAACATGGCATATCAAGTTGCAGTAAGACTAAGCACTTCCACCTTTGTTAAAGTTGGGCAAAATGTCTGAGTATGAGAAGTAGGGTCTCAAAAGCCAGTAAAAGAGCCCCTATTCCCATTGTTAGGACTCCCATAAGAGGACCAAGCTGCACAACTGTAATATATATATGCAGAGGACCTAGCTCAGTCTCCGGCAGGCTCCCAGGTTGTCGGTACAGTCTCGGTGAGCACCTGTGAGCCAGCAACGAAGAGATTCCCCTGCTCATCATCATTTCCAGCATCACATGTGTTGTTGATCTTAGCCATTCTGAAAAGTGTAAGTTGGAATCTTAGAGTCGTTTTGATTTGCATTTCCCTCATGGCTAGGGCTGTTGAACATTTCCTTAAGTGTTTCTCAGCCATTTGAGATCCCTCTGTTGAGAATTCTCTGTTTAGATCTGCACCCCATTATTTAATTGGGTTGTTTGGTTTGTTGATATCTAGTTTCTTGAGTTCTTTATGTATTCTGGAAATCAGCCCTCTGTCGGAGGTTGGGTTGATGAAGACATTTTCCCATTCTACAGGCTGTCATTTTGTCCTTTTGATGGTGCCTTTTGCCTTACAGAAACATTTCAGTTTAATGATGTCAAATTTATTTATAATTGTTTGTGCTACTGGTGTTCTGTTCAGGAAGTTGTCTCCTATGCTAATGAGTTTGAGATTATTTCTTACTTTGTTTTCTATCAGGTTCAATGTAACCGGATTTATGCTGAGGTCTTTGATCCACTTGGTTTTGAGTTTTGTGCAGGATGATAAATATGGATCAGTTTGCATTCTTCTACATGCAGACATCCAGTTAGACCAACAATGTTTGTTGAAGATACTTTCATTTTTTCCGTTTGTGGTGTTGGAATAAACTCATCATGAAATCAACGCAACCAAAAGTAAAAAAAAAAAAAAAAAAACAGTAATAATTACGTTTTTGGGTTAGATTATAATCGGGAGCTAACACTACAGAACTAGGTATGACTCGTAAGCACTGAACGCAGAGATGAAATCACATGGAAGTGTTTCCACCTGGTCTCCCTCTGTAAGCGTTAGTCTCTCTCCAGCCACGCTGAAGATACTTTTAGAATCTGAGGCCCATATTGTCAGGATGATAGCTAAGACATGATCCCTAGTTCTAAAATGTCTAAAATTTTACAAGTCTGATGAACTCCTCGTGAATTTAAAGGACAACTCCTCAGAAGACTTCAGTATTGGTCCAGTTCATCAACAATTGCCAGAAATATCAAATGTGGTACCAAGAATTAAGTGTGAATCTTGAAAATAGGTCATTGGGCTAACAGCTAAAGGGAACAATCTGAATGTTTCCTGTAAAGCTCACCCCCACCTATTGAGCCAACAGCTCATTAAGTTTTCTTGAGCTTCTGCTAAGACCTCAGTGCCTTGCCCTTCATTTGCTTTCCCTGGGGTCGACTGACCAATGACGGTGGCGGTTCACTGTATAATCCTCTACTCTGGAACTGCAACTCGATTTACTAATAGCGTATTTCCTTTTGTTCTGAAAAGTGCTGTGCCCTCTACATGGAAGACCTGGGGAAATAGCTACATGGTTAGTCCCACCCCTCCCCGCTTCTTCCAAGCAGAAGCAGACAGCTCAGGCTGTCCCTGGCAGTCAGGTATTCTCCACAAGGGATTCTTCAGAGAGCTCCAGCTTCTGATAAGGCATTGCACAACTGCCACCTGGTGGGCAAATGCATAAATCCACCACTCTGTTTTAAGACAATAGTCCCTGGCCTCAGACAAGCATCCATCAGTAGTAGCTAGTCATCCGCAGGGCTTATCAAGATGTGTCCCATCTTGTGTTTAAAAACACCTGAGCTCTACTGGATACAAAAAACTAGACTCCCACTTTTTGGTCATTCAAAGTGTTTCATATAAGAGCAAAAGTGAGATCTGTATGATCATAAATTTCCTTTACAATTTTCCTTAATATTATAAATTTCATAGTGTTGCAAGGTGTTCTTTAATCAGGTCTCACACTATAGTTCAGGCTGCCCTGAAACTTACTATGAATTTTTATTTATTTCTTTGTTCATTCGTTTAGTGTAGGTCTTGTATAAACAAAATATTCTTTAAATATTTACGAGCAAAATTTTAGATATTTCCTGAAATTGTTGAAATACTCTGTTTTACAAAATACAAGATAATTAGTGCTATCATTTACTAGTTTGAATATCCTTCTAAAGATAAGGATCTGAATCTATAAACAAGCAAAAAAATAAAACAAATGCCAACAACAGCATTTCTCATCCATACAGGACACATTAGGAACATTTCCCAGTAATGTGCTGGTTTGAAATATAAACATGAACATTAATTAATATGGCCTCAGACCTCAGAAATGAACACATGCACATTTTTGTTGAAAGTCAGAAGTACATTATATGTCAACCTCTACCAATTGTCTTCAGTTTCATTTTCCTGTGTAATAAAGAAGAGATGAAGAGGCAGGAAAGACGGAGGAGAAAAGTGGATTTTTTTCAATTTTTTATTATTGTTTATTTTTATCATTTTTTAGCTTTCCATTCAGGGAGACACTACAAGAGTCAGGGGTAGATATGGAGGGACTGAGAGACAAGCAGGACTGGGGTGCACGATGTGAAATTCCCAGAGAATTAATTAAAAGCAAAACAAAACACCACCTCAAAGAGGATCAAAGCTGTATCCAACAAGACAAAGGTATAGGAAAAGGACTTTCTAAATAAGACTCCAGAGCAAAAAATTAACAACTTGGACCTCATAAAACTAAAACATTTCTGATAGGTCTGAGCTAGGTCCTCTGTCTATGTTATAGTTGTGTGGCTTGGTGTTCTTGTAGGAGTGTAGTTATTTCTGACTCTTTCATCTGCTCTTAAGATCCTTTTCCTCAGAGTGGGCTGCATCATCCAGCCTTGATAGGAGAGTTTGTGCCTGCCTTGTAGCTTGTTTTACCATGTTCAGTTGATATCCCTGGGAGCCATGCTCTTTCCTGAAGGTAAATGGAGGAAGAATGAATCTTGGGGGCAGGGGACTGGAGGGAGAGGGGAATATGGAAACTGTTTGGGATATAATATATAAGAAAAGAATAAATAACTTTTTAAAAAACTGAAATATTTCTGTAGTGATATTTCTTTTTTTTTTTTCGAGACAAGGTTTCTCTGTAGCTTTTGGTTCCTGTCCTGGAACTAGCTGGAACTAGACCAGGCTGGCCTCGAACTCACAGAGATCCACCTGCCTCTGCCTCCCGAGTGCTGGGATTAAAGGCGTGCGCCACCACCGCCTGGCTCTCATTTATATTTTAATAAATAAAGCTTGCCTAAAGATTAGAGAGTAAGAGAGCCCCACTGGTGAACCTTACAGACCAGGCAGTGGTGATGCACACCTTTAATCCCAGTAGCCATGCTAGTTTGCTATGGAAACCAGGTGGTGCATGCCTTTTATCCCAGTGGTACAGGCCTTTAATCCCAGCCCTAGAAAGAACTATAAAATGGAGCAGGCAGGGAGGTAGGACAGCTCTCAGACATAGTCTCATTCTGAGATTCCTGGAGGCAGGATGGCCATTTCAGACTGAGGCAGAGGTAAGAGCCAGTGGCTGGCTTTTCTGACCTTCAGATAGAACGCCAACTTGTGTCTCTGAGTTTTTATGAACTGGGCTACACATTTCTGTAAACTAAGGAAACAATCAAGTGAGTGAAGGAGAAACATACAGGACGGAGATTATCCTTGCCAGCTACACAGCTGACAGAGCATTAATAACCAACAGAACTCAAGAGCACAAGGAGTCAAGGAAAAGATGACCCAAAGGGGGAAAAATGGGCCAGAAATTTAAACAGAGAGTTATCAATAGCAGAAATAAAATATTGGCTAAGAAATACCTTTAAAAGTGTTCATAACCCTTAGCAATTGGGTAAATGAAAATTAAAACAACTTTGAGATTCCCTCTGACCCTCGTCAGAATGGAGAAGATCAACATAACAGCTGACAAGAAATGATGCTGAGGTTGTGTGCAAAGGAGAACCCTCATTCGCTGTCAAGGAGAATGCACATTTGTCCAGCCACTCTGGAAGATCCCTCAAAATATTAGCAATAAATCTATTGTGTGACCCAGCTATACCACTCCATGGCTTATGCCCAGAAGACTAGACATCCTGCTCCCCAATCCTTGTTCAGTTCATTATTGTCCTATTCACAGTAGCTAGGAAATGAAAACAACCGAAATGCCCTTCAACAAATGACTGGGTAACGAAAATGTAGTACCTATACATAGTGGAGTACAATTCAGCTACAAGGAAAAGTGAAGTCGGGAAATTTGCAGGTCAGTGGAGAAACCTCGAAAAGAGGATATTGAGCGAGTTATACCAGACTCACAAACACCACATGTTCTCTCGTATGCAGTTCCTAACTCCAGATCTTCAGGTGTGACTATATAACACGGAGTCATCAGACAAACCAGGAAAGTATAAAGGGATCACGGGCACAGGGAGAGGCTTGAGAGGGAATAGCAGAATATAGGTGATATTTATGGAGAAACAGAAAAACAAGGAGACTTCAGCTGGGGATGGGACGGAGGTCAGTATAAGAGGAGGAGAAACAAATAGCACCAAGATTATTTGATAAAGCTTCAAGAATCATTCCATATTTATAGGAAATAATATACATATGTATTGGAATATAACTGTGAAGAAAAATTATATCATGAAATTTTCAGGTAAATGAATGGACTTAGGAAAGATTGTTTTGAGTAATGCATCCAATATCTGTAAAGACAAATGCCACATGTCCTCTCGATTTCCTAGCTCCAGATAGACAAGATTGATGGACAGACAGGTAGGTAGATGGCAGATTGTAAGAGCCAGAATACTAGGAAGTCCTCTGTGAGACTGCCTCTCTTAAAAATAGCTGCACAAACAAATCCTAACAATGATAATACCAATGGACAATGCTAACACGGAAAAGGGAAACCTCATGGGGTCTGACGCCTACATAAAGAACTGTAGGCACATGAGTGCTGAAAGAGGAAAAACTAGCCTCACCTAGCAACGAGTCTCCTAATTGGTTATCCAATACAAGGTAGCCAGCCCTGAAAGCAAATACACACAAGCAAGAAAAATATAATCAGCAGTCTGTACGTACACATTTGTTCCTATACGTGGAACAATAATAATCAAAGTGGCTATCAATTTGAGAGTTGGAGTAGAGACATTGGAGGAGCTGGATGGAGGGTGTATGGGAGGTGTTGGAGTGAGGAAAGGAAAGAGAGAAGTGATGTAATTCTACCTTAACTATAATATATAAAACTTTGTTAAAATAAATTTTAAAAATTTAATTTAAAGACTAAAATTTGACAGCACTTGGGAGGCAGAGGCAGTTGGATCTCTGTGAGTCCGAGACCAGCCTGGTCTACAAAAGCAAGCTTCAGGACAAGCTCCAAAGCTATAGAGAATCCCTGTTTCAGAAAAAAGATTATAATTTGTAGAAAACATACTCGAGGGACAATGGTGACAACTGTCCTATAGAACACTTAGTAGCTTCAGTGGATGTCTGAGGAGACGAGACAAGACTCTCTGCAACTCTAGAACAAGAAATTTGCAGATTGTGATAGAGAGCTTGCAATCACACTTTTATTCAATCAGCACTTAAAATAATAAATTAAGTACTTTAAAGTTACATTTATTCACTAATTATCCAATATGCTATATACATAGTTAATATTTTTAAAGACATATTTCTTGTCCTGGCCGTATTTCTGATATTCTGGTCAAAAATGTCATAGGTACAGAAAATCTTGTAAGTTTAAAATGAAACCACATAAAACCATAATTACTAAGAAACAAGGAACAAGGCAGTGAAAGTTTTATCCAAGAGTATATTTTCCAGATATTTGAAAGTAAGAAATTCTTAGAGAGGATCTAGCCTAAATTCCATCCCATACATTGCACCTTTTTATGGAAAAAAGCATTGAAAAACCAGACTTGGTTCATACTGTAGCTATAAATCATCTTGCTTATTATTGCTTTTAATATCTATTACATTTAATTGGTTTTCCTCTTCCCAGATGAAAAGAATTTCACCTTCTAAAATAAAATGTATTTCCAATATATTTCCATTGCTGATATTTACAAATTTCTCAACTTGGCAAATAGCTAACACGTAAGCTAGACCGAACAGTTCAAAGGGGAACTGATAACAGGGATTTTCTGTTACTGATTGGTTAGGATTTGTTCTTGAGTTCTGGACTCTGTTAATTAAGTTGCTATTCTCATCAACATTTTTGGAGTTATTTGTCCAATTGCTAGGGCTTCGTGTAATGGAATTTATATCCTCTACAACTAGCAATGATGTATGCATGAGATCTGAAAACCTTTTCTTTAAATATAACTGAAATTTCTTCAAATCAATTTTTTCCTCTAAGTTCAAAGAGGTAACATGTGTGTGTTTCATTCTTTTATCCATCAAGTCAACCATGTTTCTGGAATAAAATTGATCAAATGGAGCACCAATGGCATTATCCGTAAATGTTTTGCTCACACTCGCATTATTTCTCTTGCTTCTGAGTTTGTTTTTGTTTGGCTGCAGCAGAAACGGGTATATTTTCATCCATAAGTGGTAACCCAAAGAATTTTCGATATCAGAATCTTTGCGGTAAGCAAAGCCTCGGTCTTCCTCATTTACAGGTTGAAAGGTAACTGTTAGTATTGGACAATGTTGGCCACAAAGAGCATAGAGTTTATCCAAAGAGTCACCTTCCTGAAGTGCACCATGAGTGATTTTACTCCCAGGTAATGGCTGGGTTTCAATAGCATTGCTGCAAACGGGGTGGACTTTATTGCCAGCGGGAGCAAAGGTTTGTGTAACAGATGTACACACTCTTTCAGATGGATCCTTAGCCTTCTCCTCCTTGTGATAATTTGGTATTCTCTCTTTGGGATGGGTTTTATTCGGCACATCTAGAAAATCTTCACAAAAGGGCTCAGAGTCACTACCATGAGGAAAGTTAAAATAATTACATTTTACTTCAACAGGTTGAGTCATTTCCTCCAGTTCTGAAGAGGACAATTCAGCCAATGTTGGTCTGGGAGCCAAATCTCCAAAGTGTGAATATGGCACCTCCAAGCTGTTCTTATCGAGAGTATCCACTGATGTGGTGTCTGCGTTGCCATACATGCCAGTATTGTCAAGTGACACTCTCCACAAGTGATTTTCCTGCAGGAGCCATTTGCCATTGTCAATCAGCTCTCCTTTCTCTCTTTTCTTAAGGACCTTGTCATGCTCAGCTGGTTTTGTAACATGTTCTAGGGTGTTACCCCCAAAACCTCTCATGCCATTGACGTCACCTTCACCTTGTCTTTCCTCCTGGAATTCCTGAAACAGGAGTGAACTTCTAGATTCCTGTTCAGAAGAGATCAATGACTGGCACTCAGAATCATTAAAATTTGTTTTCTTAGCACACCGAACTTCCACGGGATTATAAGGACAAACTTGAGATCTGTGTATAGACCCATGAAAAAATTGTGGTTTGATAATCTCTGCTTTGCCATAAAGCTTTTCTATTGCCCTTTTAACAATTCCTCTATTGTGCTCTTTCTCACGGGCTGCGTCATCATTGTCACTGTGATCATCACTGGGTGTTTTATGAGGATGCCCCCTCTCACTGTCTGGTCTACAGTCTGACCAGTCTGAAGTCACAGGACTTCTGAGATGGGTTTTACCAACAAGTGAGGACTCTGTGTAATTTACATTTTCAATACTTTCTACCATCATTTTAACTCTCATCTTATTTTCTCCTTCACTGATCTCCTTTTCCATATTTTTATTAGAATCATAGCAAGAACCTAAAGATGGTGATGTCACCTGCCCCCTACCAATTTTCTCCAAAATCACAGTATTTCTTCTTTTGTCTTCTATAGTATTCCTATTTGATATCTGCATCAACTTCAAACTCATTCTGGCCTCTAACTCTTTTTTAACGGACTCCTCAGTAGCTTGTTCTTCAGCACTTACTTTTATATTAAAAATATCTGTGTCTTGGCTTTCTGATTCTTCAAAAGATTCTAATTCTGAAATGCTATTTCTTTCATTTGACGTCATGCTATTGGTTATGGACCCTGGTTCTTCAGAAGTTCGTGATTCTTCCTTATCAAAAGATAGACATTTATTTTTATTCACAATTTTCTTAAGTGAGCAATTTTTTAATTCTTCTAGAGAGCTATAGTCCTTATCAAATTCCGGACCAGTTTTCCCTAGGAAAAGACCACAGGAGCTTGTGTCACTGACATTTTGATGCGATGTTGATACATTAGAGTCATTTTTATGCACAGAGCCTACCAAAATATTTAAATCTTTTGGAACTTCATCAACTGTCTTGAGTTCTTCAGTTAATTCCAAATTATCACCACATTTGTTTTCTTCTGAATTCACAAAGTCAATCGTATTGCAGGCTCTGATGGGAACGTAAGTCTCAGCACTCGGGCAAGCTGCCTCACAGGTGCTCTCCGCCTGAGCACAAACCTTATGGGTACACACACCACCGGTAAGTAAACAGCCCGCTCCAAGGGAAGAAGCATCATTTGTGGAGAGCTGACTCATAGTATAACTATTACTAGTGAAAAGGGCGTTGCTCAGGTTACCTGCCTCTTTTGAAGGATAAGTCATATTCACAGAACACACCTCACATTGAGAGGTATGTTCCTTGTCAATCATTTCTGAAACACAGAACTCGGGGTCACAGTCCTCCCTGGCAGAGTAACCCTCATGCAAGAGCATCTTCTGTGTTCTCTCATCTTCATTACACTTGACAACACTCTGAATGCTGGCTGCAGTACAATTGGCTGGTACCGTATCTTGTTCCCTCTCACTGGGTTCACTAAAATTTTTGGTTGATTCCACTAAGTTGGCAACAGCAGCCTTCAAGTCATCGGCTTCCTCTGTGATGGCAACATGCTTCAGAATTTCCAACAGTGCAGATGTTTCTGCAGATCTGCTGGTAATCTTATGAGCATCGTTTTGACGGAAGCTATTCATACTTCCCTTTAGGTTTAGTACCAAAAGCCAAGCGAGAAGGAGGTTAGTGGATGAATTGTATAGTGCAGAAGAAAATGCAACATCTGCTAATGAACCTGAAATTTGAGCAGTGCCATTCTGGTTTTTCTTGTTGCTAGCAACAAAAGCTTCCAGGTGTTGAAGCAACAGGGCCGGTAAGTAGTTCTTCAGAACATTCTCTCCCACGGTATCTACCTGAGTGGCAGCCTCAATCCTCTGCCCTTTTGTAGCTAGGTTCATTTCTTGGTAAATAAGGTTCACGTCTGGTGTGGACTTTTCAGTAGATAAATGACTTTCAGTACTACGATGGTTAGCAGTGGCTACTGACCAAGGGCCACGGTCATGCAGAGAAACATCTTGGCTCTCACAGGTGTGTTTATCAAGCTCTTTGCCATGATCTTTAACAAGAGATTCACCAGCCTCTTGATTTTTCTCGCCTGTCCAGTTGTCATTTTTAGTTTGGTGCTTATTACTTTCCATAACAAAACTATTTCTTTTTGAAGAAGCCGTGTGGAGATTATTTCCTGGAGAACCGTTACTGTTATAATTTACCATGCTACTTCCGTTTTTGCATAGTGGAGGTGAATTTCTGGGCTCAAAATCTTGATATGTATTTATGTTCTGCAGCCATCTCTGTACATAGTTCTTAACTGAATGATGGGGAATACCCTCAGGAAAATCAGGTTTTTTGAAGGAAGCTGATGGACCTGCCCTTCTCGTAACATAACGTTCACTTACTATAGCACCTGACTTCAATTTATCTACCTTTTGTTTTTTCTGGCTTTTTAAAGTTGCCTGTAACTCATTAACTTTAGGGGCTAAACTCTTACTTGTCACTCCTCTTAAATTCTCTGTTACTATCTCCACTTGTGACTGTGGACTATGAAAAGGTTTCTGGTTTTCCTCAAGGATATTAAATACATGAAGTAAACTCTGATTCTCCAAATTACTTTTTAAAAGGTTAGATTCACTGTGGAGAAATACTTTATCTCCTTGACCAATTTCTTGTTTCCTGAGTCCTCCTAAACTTACCATCCTTAGTGGTCTGGGTTTCCTTTTGACTAAAAGTCTTTGAGTCTTAGGATTTTGAAAGCCATTTAACTTATTTTTATGGAAATTCTTGGAAATTCTGGTACTGATATTATTACTTTGGGGGCAGAAATGATTTGATTCAGTTATCACATCACTTGGATCAAGGCCTTCCCTACAAAATCTCCCTCCTTTAAGAGGACCATCTGAATCTCTCAGTAGTATTTCCTGGGCAATTGCTCCTTCTTTGTTTATCTTCCCAAGTTTTTTAGAGGTTCCTTTGGTTTCAATCACTTTTTTCTTATACCTGGGATTTATCATATGTGGCTGAGATTTCTTCTTTTTGCTGGGAAAAGAGGATAAAACCTGCTTTCTATTTTCTTGAAGTTCTGTTAAACCACAGTGAGCAAATTCCTTAACTAGTGTGTCTACTCTTGTGGTGACCGCTGAGGATCCTACAGAAGGAACCTCAGAAATACTTTGGTCAGTTCCAGAGTTGTTACCGGAGGGAAGAGTTCTATCTGCTGCAAACGAACTGCCCCTGTCATGCGTGCTACCACAAGTTCTGAAACGCTTAATACCAGTTTTGTCTGACACTACACTCTCAACTATGCCTTCCTCCACAACTGAACTCTCCGAAACAGTTGGTGGTAAACCGTTGCTATGGCACATCTTGAAGACCTTCTGACTTGTAATTTCTATAGCACCAGCGTTTACGGCATTTGACGTGAGCAGTCCACTTTCCTTCGATCTTTCTAGTGTCGACTCATCTTTGCTCTGGATATGAACAAGTTTATTAGATACTGATGACATTTTGCTGCAAGAATGTGCAAACATGTGATACTCAGATTTTTCCCCACCCTCTCTTTCTTCACTGTAGGAAAACTGCTTCTCCTGAACCTCGGTTTCAGATACTAGAGTAACAGTACCTATCACAGACTTCTTTTGTCTCCTTCGCCTTGGCCCAGGGGTTGGGGGCCTATAAAAACGTTTCACTTGCTTCTGGCCTCCCTGAATAACATCTGTGTCCACAGAAACATTCTCCCAGCCAGCAGAGCTGCATGATTCAGCCTGCTGCTCTGTCTTCTGAGAGTTGTCTTCCTCTGTCGGACTGCCCTGCTGAGTGGTGTCTGTGACGTCTTCGGACAAGGCCCGTGCTGCATGCTTTAGGCTGGATGGTCGCTTATCCATTCTTCCCGGATAACTGCTTTGCTCGCTCCTTCCGTCGTTAATTGGAAGCCCAGCTCTATCGACAGTGGCTGTCCACTTTACGGTCTCTTCTTTGATCTTGAATCGAACTTTCATCACCACTGTCATAGTGCCGTCCTGATTAAAAACAACGGACTTCTCAACACCGTCTTCGGAAGGAAACGCTGGCAGATCCTGAGAATCACGCTTCTCCAAGGTCAGGCTGTTTTCAGGGACCACAGAACAGTCTGAAGAACAGTCACATGTTTTCTCAGAAGCCAGGGACTCGATCTGGGAACTTAGGACTGAAGGCCTGCGTGTGCTCACTTTCAAGATTTTAAGAGTAAAAGATGCCATGTTAAAACCCAGCATGGAAAGAGGAAGTTGTAAATATCCCAAGGAAGATGCAGCAAAGAGAAAAGAAAAGAAAAAATTAGTACAAAATACCATTTTTTCTGTATTTTGCAATAAAATGTTACAGATGCATTTCTAAATTCTATATACTCAATGATTATTTGAGAAACCTTACTATAGTTTCTGTTTTTTTTTCAAACCACTATAAAACGTAAACTAATCATACTTTAATGGAGACATATTTAGAATTTTAAATTTAATTTATAAAGGAATGACAATAAGAAGAATGTAAAGTACAAATTACTAGTGATTATATTATTGGGTAAAATGTTTTTTGTGTGGTTTATTTGCTTACCAGTACTGAAACCAGAATCTGACGAAGTTCTGTAGATCCCAGTAAGAGAGGCTGGCAAGCAGCAGTGTGTGGTGGGTTCCATTTAAGCATGTGCAGGAGACACTCAGTAGCCTTATGGAAGCTAACCATATTTATACTTGATCAGTCAAATAATATTTAAATTTTATTTGTGTCATCCGTGCAGTTGATTTATTTACATATACACAAAAACACCAGCATTTGACACAGCCCAAGTGTGGCTTTTAATATGAAGTCTGTCATTAACCTTAGTATGAAAGATTTCTTCCTAGAAGTCCTTGTAGATTTGCATATGTCCCCTAAAGTAATTGTCTTTGGAGTTTTCAGAGCTAACCCTAAAATGCTGCTTATAGTTTTGGGTAAATAAAAATTTCTCATTCTTAACTTGATGAAGTAAAACTTAACAAAGCTCTCATAGCCCCCAAAGTCTATCAAAAATAATAAAGAGCTGATAAGAGACACAAAAAGAGCAAATCCACTTCAGAAAATTGATCAAGGTAAAACAGTGCAACTATATGCATAATATATGCTCAGCAATTAATACCTAAAAATAGGTGCATTCACAAATATGAATGTACTCCTGAAATAATCAGATAAAGGCGATAAATTATTTCAGCCATACTAGCAATAAGAACAGGGATTACTACTTCTTAAAATAAAGATTACTCCAAGTCTAAAGAGAATGAAAATTCGAATCCATGTGTAAATGGCAATCGGCACTGAGCTTCTCTCTTGGAGTTAATGAGCACAGTGAGTAACTGAGTTTTCTCACACTCTTGGGCCTCAAGATGCCCTCTTTCTCCCCTATCCCAGTGACAGTGCCCCACTGCTAATCAAATCCTAAAATTTTCAAAATTTAGATTATTGTTACTAATGTGAACTGGCTGAACTAACTACTTTATTTTGATCAAAAATGTTTCTTAGCATAGATAATTTTACAGGAACAGCTTCAGAAGGGAGAGTATACAGTTAAGTTTTTTTTTTTTAATTTAGATAGACCACTGATTTACTGAACTCAGCTATGAATGCTCCTTCAGACAAAAGTCTACAACTACCAGAGAAGTCACTTATACAGTTCTATAAACTCTTTCCAAAGCAAAAAATTCTGACTTTTTGTTTTGTTTTGTTTTGTTTTTTTAAATAAAAGCCAGGCAGTGATGGTGCATGCCTTTACACCTATAATCCCAGTACTCAGAGGTGGAGAGGGGTGGATCTCTGTAAATTCAAGGCCAACTTGGTCTATAGAGCAAGTTCCAGAACAGGCTCCAAAGCTACAGAAAGACCCAGTCTTAAAAACAACAACAACAAAAGTATATTTCATCCATGTAAAAATGTGTATCATTGATTATTTGGAAAAATCTTTCGAAAAGTAACCAGATATCTGTGACTATTTCCTACTATACATTAGCAAATTTCTGTGGTGATATTTTGTTTGTTCAAATCAAGCTGGCCTGAAGATCAGAGGGCAGAGCTAGCCACTAGCTAGCCATAGAGATCTGGAGGTTTGTACAGACAGGCAGGAAGTGATATGGCTGGGGGAGAGAGGAAGTGATAAGGAGGAAGGAGACAGAAGCTCAGTCTCTTTTTAGCTAGAAAGCTGAGAGGTAAGGTGGCTGTGGTTTTGCTCCTTCGTCTCTCTGATCTCTCAGCATTTTCCCCAATACCTGACTCGGGACTTTTATTAATAAGACCTATTAGAACCTGTGCTACAAATCTCATTTTGGAATACTTTTAATCCTCTCATAGTTTGTCTTTTGTGATGAGCCTGGTACTTTTTTATATATTTATTTCTTTATTAATTAATTAAAGATTTCTGTCTCTTCCCCACCACCGCCTCCCCTTTCCCTCCCCCTCCCCCAACCAAATCCCCCTCCCTTGTCAGCCCAAAGAGCAATCAGAGTTCCCTGCCCTGTGGGAAGTCCAAGGACCACCCACCTCCATCCAGGTCTAGTAAGGTGAGCATCCAAACTGCCTAGGCTCCCACAAAACCAATAGGTGTAGTAGGATCAAAAACCCATTGCCTTGGGGTCTGCGGAGCCTGGTCCTTTAAATATAATTTTTCCTGGTAAGGCAAAGAAAAGTTTCAGAGCTAATAAGTGAGTATTTATGAGTGACTTACTCTTTCTTTTCTCTAACGTGGGTTTACCCTTCCGGTGCACACGATGAGAGACCCCTGGCAACCTAGCAGGAAGCAAGGACTTTTGGATGTCGTAATTTCCGGGCTTAAATGGCTCCCTTCCAGCTGCTACCACAGCTCCTGAGCTCAGTAGCACTGCCTGGAGACTAGGTACCTAAAAGAAACCAGAGTCACTGTCACACATGAGCAAGTACTGATCTTTCCATGAGGTATGTTTATAACTTTGAATAGCTCACTTGGGCATTTTCTTAGATACCAATCACGCACACAAAATTAATCTAGGCATGATGGGGGATGGGTGTAAGCAGATCCATAGACACTATTGAGCCTGCATACTAGCTAGAAAGTGAGAGACTAGTTTTCTAGAATAACTAAATATCTTTAAAAGCAATGTTGTATTCCCCACCGAAGTCTGCAGTTGCAGCAGCCAAGTGCCCGCCAATCCGCAGCCAACTGCGCAAGGGCATGAGGGATAGCAAGGTTGAAAGCCGATCTCTTGAGTCCGTACGGTTAGCCACAGACCCCGCAGACCCTGCAGACCTGCCATGGGGGTACTAGGAAGATGCTTTTTCTAGATGGAAAAACACTACCCTTGGTCACTCGCTTCTAAGGAATACTATGAAAATGGTATTCTTTAACCAAACATTGTAAGTTTTGAATTTAACAAACAAAACATGTTCACAGACAACAAATGAGGGGGAGCAGACGCCTTCCGACCCAATAACCCGTCAGGTTCTGACAAGACCAAGACTACTACACACATACATGCACATGTATACACGCACATGTGCACACACACACATACATACATACACACGGGAGATGACTTAGGAGTCACCAAAAACACTCACTTTTCTTCCGTCCGTGGCATACAGTTTGGCCACTGGCCACTGCATGACCTGCGTCAGGTACTGCAGAAAGGCCTCGAAGCTCTGCGTAATCCTCCGACTGAGAAGGATCACACGCCTGGTCTTCGGGTCGCCGTTCCGGAAGACCACAAGCCTTCTCGGAGCACGGAGCACGCCGGGAGCAGTGGTGGACACCAGGGCAGTAGCAGAGCCGAGGTGCACATGTGTGCTTATAGAGCGGCTGCTGAGCCAGGGCCGAGGGCGCCGGCGAGCCTTGTCCAGGTCAACTGGCAGCACCTTCCTATTGTGGGAGCACAGGTAGGACTCGCCGTCCTCCAGCTCCTCCAGCCTGGTGATGCTGTGCCTTCCACGGGGTGTGCTGATGTTCCTTACCCCAAAGGGCAGGGGCACCTTCCTGGATAAGTTGTCCAGGAGAGCGTCGAAGGTCTTAAAGGAACGAGGATTGACCACCACCTTCACACCGCCAAACTGGGGGTCTCCGCTCTTGTAGAAGCTGATGCGTTTAGCCACCACAGGGTGAGCGACGTTTGAATGGCGAGGAATAGGAACTTGACCTTCAGAAGAAGTCAGTTGAATCACAGAGAAGCTAGTAGACGGTGCCTCACTCATTTTGGCTGAGACCTAAAGACGGAGGGAAAATGGCTTATTTTCACAATGGTCTGGAGCTGTGTCGCTGAGACTGTATGGTAATGCTACTGCTTGCATGTTTGCCTGCTCCACCTTGTGATTTTAGAATATAAAAGAATACTGGACACTGGAGAGATAGCTTGGTGGTTAAAAGCTCTGACTGCTCTTCCAGAAGACCCAGGTTCAATTCCCAGCACCCACATGGCAGCTCACAACTGTCTATAACTTCAACATCTGACACTCTGACACAGACATACATACAAGCAAAACACCAGTGCACAATAAATAAATAAATTATATAAACTGGCCTGGAAATCAACGCCTTTCAGGAACTGTCCTGGCTTTGGTCCAGCAAGGACATCTCCCCCCTTCCATTCTTGTTTGTATCAGAGTGCTTATTCCAGAAAGATCCCAACAACACCCCCAGCCCCCATTGGTTCAGAGAGAATGCTGCCCTGGGGCCTCTCCTCACACTGAAGTCTCTGGAACTGGGAAGCGCGTACTCTAGACAAGGTTCTAGAGTCCTCTTGCATCGGCCAAGGGGAATGTGAGACCCGGAATCAGTCAGTCTCTTTGAGTGTACGAGGATGAGACTAGGCTGGACGTTTAGACCAGCAAAGGACCCGCAGAGAGCTAGGCAGGAGTAAGGACCTCCAGGGAGTTAGGCAGGGTAGCCAGGCAGACTGGATCACCCGGCAGGAGTTTGCATCTGAAGCTTTGATGGGATACCAGTGTGGCACTGGTCTCCAAAGGAAAAACAGGTTGGTCACCAGCAAAATAGACTAGGAAATTAAAATGGGAATGTCTAACTTAGGAATAAACGGTGAATGGGTCTATGAGTGCTTGCCGTGGCCCACAGCTCTGGCTATGGGATCTCACTGGGTCCCAGCCTGCAGTTCCGCTGAGGTTGTTTCACCTAATGGGCACTCATATTCCATAGCAAGAGGTGACTGAGCACAGGGATGCATGTGGCCCTAATGTAAGACCTCTTAAGTCACTGGGAGGCAGCCAGGCAGCTGTGCGCCTATGTGAGGGAGAGACCTGTCCTCCACCCCACCCACAGTGGGGTAGGCACACAGAAACTCCCCTGACCCTGGTTGTGGAACATTTCTCATCATGGGGTCTGCCCTATCCCGGTGTGAGACCCACAGAATGGCAAGCCTGAAAGGACCAAAGAAGCACCCACTTTAGATACCCCAGAGGATGAAATCTTGCACATGGTGCAACCCCTCAGCTGACTCCAATTACCAGTGCCACGCAGAGACAGTCCCAAGACAATCTGATCTGGCCCCTTCAGTGGCATCAACCCTGATACAATTGTCATCAACCTCAACCAGGCTGCCAGGGCTGCCACACTCCGGCTGGCTGCGTTCCAGGAAGAGCCTGTTCTAAGGGCATGTCAAGGCCCGCCACTCATCCAAGAAGATTGTAGTTATGTTATCCAGCTGCATGATTACCTGAAAAGAAGAGGGGGCTCTTCCATGACTGTGGAGAAGTTATAAAATGTAATATTTTCTCACAGCCAGACTTACAAGATCAGCCACTCCCCCAGTTGAGATATTCAACCTTTTATGATGGGAGCTGAAGCCTACAACATAGGGGATAGCCCCTCGCATCAAGAGACTCAAAATAAGTATATGAAGAAAGGGGACTGCTTACCTCGGGGGACAAAGAAATTAAAAACACCAGATCCTCCAGCTCCTAGAAGCTGTCTGTGTACTTGGCTGTGGCAGTAGTGTACCGCCAAGCTCACTCAGAATCAAGGTCAAGTGAATCAGGAAAAACCAATTGGCAGACCAGGCTGCTCTCTGTAAAGACACAGCCCTGACGTCACCTCCGTGACCACCCAGAAGATACGTTATGACTCCCAGTGTTCCCAGAGCTCCCAATGTAAGGCATAAGAAAGGAAAGGAGCAGCAGGTGCAGGGACCACTGAAAATCAAGAGCTGGCTGAGTGCCACAGATGGAGAATAATTCCAGAGACGACAACACCCGACTTAGTCCAGCAAGCTCGTGAAGCACCCATCTGGGGAGAACTGCCCTACAAGAAGAACTGTTGCAATCTTCAGGCCGAGTTGAGAAAACAAATAAAACTTCTAAATGTTGCTGGCCAAACATTGCCAAGAAACAGACTTGGCAAGAAATTCTGCTGCTCGCTCTGTTTTGGCTGATTCCCCACATTGTAAATGATCTCCTTTTGAGCCCCTGTTTGATCACCCGCCTCCACTGTTTCCAGATGACTCAGGGGCCCTCCAAGAGTCTGGACACACACCCATCCCCAGCAATTCTTGAGAGATCTGGCTGGCACTCCACAGAAAATTGCTTAAAATTGCAATTATGGAGCCATGGATACACCGCACCCACACCAAGGTTACTGTGGGTCCAAGCCAGGAATGGACTGTGAGAGCCAACAGAGATTGACCTGAAATTGAACAACTCAAGATCATCTCAGGATGATACACATATTGGTAACATTTGCGGAATTGCTTAATTTCTGGTTTTGATTTTGAGGACTAGAAATCTAAGCCAGGGCCACTTATATATTGAACATCTGAGCAACATCCTCAGCCTGATTTTTTAAGTGTTACTAAACTACGTAAATGTTTAAAAGTAAAAAAAAAAATTGTAGGATTATAAAAAAAATCACAAAAGAGACACAAATCAGAGCCCTTCAACAAGAAAAGTAAGAGTGACAATTCAGCAATTTAGTTCTTTATGGGCTAACAATAGGATGGCAGAGGGGACAAGGAAGGGCTTAAATTCAGATTGACTTTTGGGTGGAAGGAAATGCGAGTAGTTAGAGGAATATATGTATCGTGAAGCTCTGCAATGGATATGTTAAAATAGAACCAGATGTTCTCTCTGAAAATTAGGAAATACAATAAATCATCTGCCATGAATGTTGAGCACTACTCACTGAATAAATAATCAAATTACTATGAACTGATGAAAATAGTGCCATCTGGCTACTGTGTGCACTACCAGTTCTAAAACAAAAACGCCAGGGAATGGAAGAAGAGTCCCTTTTAGAAAACCGCAGAGGAGTTCCTTGAAATCAGAACCTGACTGACAAAATTAACAGCTTTAGAAAGGCTTTATCTGGCTGGGTCTTTTTTTAGCATGGCCTATCATGACTGTTTCTGTCGTTTTAATTCCCTCTAACTATAAGAAAGCCTTCAAACCCCAAAGACAAACTGAATGAAATAGATTTGAATGATAGTGTGGAGATACCAAAAGGAATATTTGCACTGTAAATCTGGCCCAAATCACCTACATAAATATTTACAAGCAATTATCTAAGACTCTTCTTACATCTCCCAAGTAATTTTCACTTCTTTATGTGCGATTTAAGAGGAAAAAAATCATTCTGTGATCAACCTAGATATGAATTGTCTCTACATCTCACTTCCCTGGAGATTTGCAGTGATTGTAGTCTTGAAGATAATAAAGGTAGCCAGGGCTGGTATGCGCTGGGAAATCCAGCTTTTTAATAGTCAGCAAAACTGAAGTCTCTTCTCATCCTCTTCTAATCACTGGCCTGACCTTGAGAAGCCTCCTTAATCTCTCTTCCCTTGCCAACTCCAAGAAAGAAAGAGGCTGGCTCACCAATGTGTGACTACAAGTGGACAGGAAGAATGACTCCTGTTGTTCTAGACACTTGGCTGACAGGTAACCGAGTCCCTCAGACAGTTAGTAGATGTTAGGGCTTCCCAACAAGAACAAATGGCAAATGCATCTGAAGAGCTAGTTACACTGTTCACCTGGGTCTGATCACTATGTATTGTATTGGGTTGAGAGGCCACACTGTACTCCATAAATATGTATAATTAATATATTTTTAAACTTCCTTCACTATTTAAATAAAGGACTTCGGAGCTCTTTACCTGCACGTATTTTTAGCTCGATTCATTTACATATTTATTTGAGAATTCATAAATAGGTATTTGAGATATATTTTTACCTCCTTGAAAAATGAAATGCTTCACTTCATAAGAGCATCGTGGAGGTTTTATTTATTTATTTTTTTAATGTTATTAGTCTGCATCTCACTGTTGGAAATGCTGTTAACCTAGTGGACATTTGGGGACCAGATTTGTACATTGTGAATGGTTTTGATAAGTTTTATATTTCTTTGATTTGGGCTAATATACCATTCAGAAAATTGGTACTGGGACCAAAAGGGAGAAGATGTAAGGCAAACACCACAGGAGAAAGAACTAGCAGCCTCCCCCAGCCTTTTCCTTATTTCTTTACAGTGAGCCCTGTTTTGAGCCTAATCCATAAAAGGCAAGCTGAAGGTTGCCAGCACCCCACAGTGGAAGAAGTCACTAGGGGAAGTCTTAGGGAGCTGTGTGATTTTGCACTCAAGGAATTGAGGCTTAAGAGCCCATGGTGATGTAGACTCTGTGAGTAGAGCACACAACATAATGGAGATCCAGCACTTGCATTAAAGGTCGGTCTGTGTTCGGTGTGTAAAGCAATCACTGGGGAAGGAGTTACCCACCAAATTCCTTTCCAAGGAAGTGGGTCAGACTTGGCCCTTTTGTAATCGCACTCCTCAGAATCCCTCAACATTCATAGTGTAAATCAGGAAGTGAATTGATGATGAGTCGGAGGACCAAGGGAATCCTCAAGAAGGGATGTCTAGCCGGATTGAAGGCAGGAAATAGAAGGTAACACTTTCCAGAGGAAATTCATGAAAAGCTTAGATGCCAGCTGCAGAGTAGTGGAGGAAGGGGAATCCAGCGAGGCACGCATGTGGCCACCTCACACGAGTAAGACCAGGGATGTGAGGGCTAAGTCTCGGTGGCCAAATGTGCCCTTTGATTATTGTGCTTCTTTCTTCATTTATAAAACTAACCAAAGTTTGGACAGTAAAGTCTTCTTAAAAGCACTTTCAAACATATGCCCTCTGAGATTGGGATAGTAAACTTTGGAGTCACCTGAGGAAACAAGCCAAGTAGCCTGACATGTTTAATTCTCTCATTTTGCAC